ACCCAGAGACCACTGACACCCCACCCACAGACCACTGACACCCCACCCACAGACCACTGACACCCCACCCACAGACCACTGACACCCCACCCACAGACCACTGACACCCCACCCACAGACCACTGACACCCCACCCACAGACCACTGACACCCCACCCACAGACCACTGACACCCCACCCACAGACCACTGACACCCCACCCACAGACCACTGACACCCCACCCACAGACCACTGACACCCCACCCAGAGACTGACACCCCACCCACAGTCTACTGACACCCCACCCACAGTCTACTGACACCCCACCCACAGACCACTGACACCCCACCCAGAGACTGACACCCCACCCACAGACCACTGACACCCCACCCACAGACTGACACCCCACCCAGAGACTGACACCCCACCCACAGACCACTGACACCCCACCCACAGACCACTGACACCCCACCCACAGACCACTGACACCCCACCCACAGACTGACACCCCACCCACAGACTGACACCCCACCCACAGACCACTGACACCCCACCCACAGACTGACACCCCACCCACAGACCACTGACACCCCACCCACAGACTGACACCCCACCCAGAGACTGACACCCCACCCACAGACCACTGACACCCCACCCACAGACCACTGACACCCCACCCACAGACCACTGACACCCCACCCACAGACCACTGACACCCCACCCAGAGACTGACACCCCACCCACAGACCACTGACACCCCACCCAGAGACTGACACCCCACCCACAGACCACTGACACCCCCACCCACAGACCACTGACACCCCACCCACAGACCACTGACACCCCACCCACAGACCACTGACACCCCACCCAGAGACTGACACCCCACCCAGAGACTGACACCCCACCCACAGACCACTGACACCCCACCCACAGACCACTGACACCCCACCCAGAGACTGACACCCCACCCAGAGACTGACACCCCACCCACAGACCACTGACACCCCACCCACAGACCACTGACACCCCACCCACAGACCACTGACACCCCACCCACAGACCACTGACACCCCACCCAGAGACTGACACCCCACCCACAGACCACTGACACCCCACCCACAGACCACTGACACCCCACCCACAGACCACTGACACCCCACCCAGAGACTGACACCCCACCCACAGACCACTGACACCCCCACCCAGAGACTGACACCCCACCCACAGACCACTGACACCCCACCCACAGACCACTGACACCCCACCCACAGACCACTGACACCCCACCCACAGACCACTGACACCCCACCCACCGACCACTGACACCCCACCCACAGACTGACACCCCACCCACAGACCACTGACACCCCACCCACAGTCTACTGACACCCCACCCACAGACCACTGACACCCCACCCACAGACCACTGACACCCCACCCAGAGACCACTGACACCCCACCCACAGACTGACACCCCACCCAGAGACTGACACCCCACCCAGAGACCACTGATACCCCACCCACAGACCACTGACACCCCACCCAGTCTACTGACACCCCACCCAGAGACTGACACCCCACCCAGAGACTGACACCCCACCCACAGACCACGGACACACCACCCAGAGACCACTGACACCCCACCCACAGACCACCTACACCCCACCAACAGACCACTGACACCCCACCCACAGACCACTGACACCCCACCCACAGTCTACTGACACCCCACCCACAGACCACTGACACCCCACCCACAGACTGACACCCCACCCAGAGACCACTGACACCCCACCCACAGACCACTGACACCCCACCCACAGACCACTGACACCCCACCCACAGACCACTGACACCCCACCCACAGACCACTGACACCCCACCCACAGACCACTGACACCCCACCCACAGACCACTGACACCCCACCCACAGACCACTGACACCCCACCCACAGTCTGACACCCCACCCAGAGACTGACACCCCACCCAGAGACTGACACCCCACCCAGAGACTGACACCCCACCCACAGACCACTGACACCCCACCCACAGTCTACTGACACCCCACCCACAGTCTACTGACACCCCACCCACAGACCACTGACACCCCACCCACATACCACTGACACCCCACCCAGAGACTGACACCCCACCCAGAGACTGACACCCCACCTACAGACCACTGACACCCCACCCACAGACCACTGACACCCCACCCACAGACCACTGACACCCCACCCACAGTCTACTGACACCCCACCCACAGACCACTGACACCCCACCCAGAGACTGACACCCCACCCACAGTCTACTGACACCCCACCCACAGACTGACACCCCACCCACAGACTGACACCCCACCCACAGACCACTGACACCCCACCCACAGACCACTGACACCCCACCCACAGTCTACTGACACCCTACCCACAGTCTACTGACACCCCACCCACAGTCTACTGACACCTCACCCACAGACCACTGACACCCCACCCACAGACCACTGACACCCCACCCAGAGACTACTGACACCCCACCCACAGACCACGGACACACCACCCAGAGACCACTGACACCCCACCCACAGACCACCTACACCCCACCAACAGACCACTGACACCCCACCCACAGACCACTGACACCCCACCCACAGTCTACTGACACCCCACCCACAGACCACTGACACCCCACCCACAGACTGACACCCCACCCAGAGACCACTGACACCCCACCCACAGACCACTGACACCCCACCCACAGACCACTGACACCCCACCCACAGACCACTGACACCCCACCCACAGACCACTGACACCCCACCCACAGACCACTGACACCCCACCCACAGACCACTGACACCCCACCCACAGACCACTGACACCCCACCCACAGTCTGACACCCCACCCAGAGACTGACACCCCACCCAGAGACTGACACCCCACCCAGAGACTGACACCCCACCCACAGACCACTGACACCCCACCCACAGTCTACTGACACCCCACCCACAGTCTACTGACACCCCACCCACAGACCACTGACACCCCACCCACATACCACTGACACCCCACCCAGAGACTGACACCCCACCCAGAGACTGACACCCCACCTACAGACCACTGACACCCCACCCACAGACCACTGACACCCCACCCACAGACCACTGACACCCCACCCACAGTCTACTGACACCCCACCCACAGACCACTGACACCCCACCCAGAGACTGACACCCCACCCACAGTCTACTGACACCCCACCCACAGACTGACACCCCACCCACAGACTGACACCCCACCCACAGACCACTGACACCCCACCCACAGACCACTGACACCCCACCCACAGTCTACTGACACCTCACCCACAGTCTACTGACACCCCACCCACAGTCTACTGACACCTCACCCACAGACCACTGACACCCCACCCACAGACCACTGACACCCCACCCACAGTCTACTGACACCCCACCCACAGTCTACTGACACCCCACCCACAGTCTACTGACACCCCACCCAGAGACTGACACCCCACCCAGAGACTGACACCCCACCCAGAGACTGACACCCCACCCAGAGACTGACACCCCACCCAGAGACTGACACCCCACCCAGAGACTGACACCCCACCCACAGTCTACTGACACCCCACCCAGAGACTGGCACCCCACCCAGAGACTGGCACCCCACCCAGAGACTGGCACCCCACCCAGAGACTGGCACCCCACCCAGAGAATGACACCCCACCCAGAGACTGACACCCCACCCAGAGAATGACACCCCACCCAGAGACTGACACCCCACCCAGAGAATGACACCCCACCCAGAGACTGACACCCCACCCAGAGACTGACACCCCACCCAGAGACTGGCACCCCACCCAGAGAATGACACCCCACCCAGAGAATGACACCCCACCCAGAGACTGACACCCCACCCAGAGACTGACACCCCACCCAGAGACTGGCACCCCACCCAGAGACTGACACCCCACCCAGAGACTGACACCCCACCCAGAGACTGACACCCCACCCAGAGACTGACACCCCACCCACAGACCACTGACACCCCACCCACAGTCTACTGACACCCCACCCAGAGACTGACACCCCACCCACAGACTGACACCCCACCCAGAGACTGACACCCCACCCAAAGACCACTGACACCCCACCCACAGTCTACTGACACCCCACCCACAGTCTACTGACACCCCACCCAGAGACTGACACCCCACCCAGAGACTGACACCCCACCCAGAGACTGACACCCCACCCAGAGACTGACACCCCACCCACAGACCACTGACACCCCACCCACAGTCTACTGACACCCCACCCAGAGACTGACACCCCACCCACAGACCACTGACACCCCACCCAGAGACTGACACCCCACCCAGAGACTGATACCCCACCCAGAGACTGACACCCCACCCAGAGACTGACACCCCACCCACAGACTGACACCCCACCCAGAGACTGACACCCCACCCAGAGACTGACACCCCACCCACAGACCACTGACACCCCACCCAGAGACTGACACCCCACCCAGAGACTGACACCCCACCCACAGACCACTGACACCCCACCCAGCGACTGACACCCCACCCAGAGACTGACACCCCACCCACAGACCACTGACACCCCACCCAGAGACCACTGACACCCCCACCCACAGACCACTGACACCCCCACCCACAGACCACTGACACCCCCACCCCCACCCACAGACCACTGACACCCCCACCCCCACACCACTGACACCCCACCCACAGACCACTGACACCCCACCCACAGACCACTGACACCCCACGAACTACTGGACCACCTGTGTGAGCTGATCAGATAAAGCAGTTTGAATTCTTCTATTAATAGCCCCCAGCTATTTCTTGTGTTAACTTGTCAACCATAGTAGATATGCAATCTATTTGGGTCTGACGTCACAAGAGTACTTGCTATCGTCTGACCAAATCATCAGCAGCCGTTTGGTGGATGAATAACACGCCACACACATCACGCACCACACTGCAGGTTCGTATGCTTTTATCTACCTATTGTGTTTAGCCATTTAATTAATTGCATTTTTTAAATGTTTTTTTTTTATTTACGAGGTTCGTATACTCTCAAGCATGACGAATTCAATAATTTAGTGGTTAATGTAAGATTTGTTTACTGCCCATGGTTAATGTAAGATTTGTTTACTGCCCATGGTTAATGTAAGATTTGTTTACTGCCCATGGTTAATGTAAGATTTGTTTACTGCCCATGGTTAATGTAAGATTTGTTTACTGCCCATGGTTAATGTAAGATTTGTTTACTGCCCATGGTTAATGTAAGATTTGTTTACTGCCCATGGTTAATGTGAGATTTGTTTACTGCCCATGGTTAATGTAAGATTTGTTTACTGCCCATGGTTAATGTAAGATTTGTTTACTGCCCATGGTTAATGTAAGATTTGTTTACTGCCCATGCCCGCTGGTACTTTATAACGGAAATGTGCAAAGTCAGCTAATAGGTTATAGGCCTATTTGCACGCATTCTGACTTATTATATAGATACACTGTAGACACAAGTAGCTAATGCCCCTGAATCATATCACAGTAGATATTAATTAACTCCTGAATCATATCACGGTAGATATTAAATCCTGAATCATATCCCAGTAGCCTATATATTAATTAACTCCTGTGACCTTCGTTCAAGTCAAGTCTATTTCCTGCTTTGTCCATTTCGGCGATCTCTGTACAATCACCCCTCCACACATAACCCCTCCACACCCCCCTTCCACACACACACCTCCACATACACCCCCACCCCCACATACACCTCTCCACTTAACTTAAAACCCGGTGATTTGGGTCAACTGATTTATTCTACGCCTCGATGTCCGAGTGTGAATGGGTTTTGTTCCCTAGTTCTCTAGCTCCCAGAAACACACCACACACCGCTGTTGCTGCTTATCTAAAGAACTTTTCGCATTTTTGTTTTCAAATTTCGACTGGCAGAAAATGGAATGTGAGAATAAACTCCCTAAACTGGGAAGTCTGGTCAAACAACAGACTTTGGAAGTCTGCACAGACTTTCTCTCTGATGCTATCTCTGACGTCACAAAGGTATGTTTGGATAAATTACTTGAGGTGCTCACGCTATCCAACACCCTAATACGCACTCTATCACACACACACACACAAACGCACACGCTAACACACACGCAAACACATACCCTCACACGCACCAACACACACACTAGCCCACACGCTAACATACACTATCACATACGCTAACACACACACACACTATTACACACACACACATTACTAAAATCAAAATGTATTCGCTGGTCTATTATATATAACAGTATAATAATATTGTAAAATGTTATTCAAACTTTTACTCTAGCTCTACCAGACCGAGTCCAACTTTGCTATCCTGGAGACCAGAGAACAAGTCTACGAGTTCCTGCGGATCTCCCCGCTGTACGGCGACGTCGTGGGGACGAAGCTCACTGAGCCGAACCCAGTGGATGCCTGTCTGAAGAGTCTGAGGGTGAAGAACGCTATCACCTTCGGCTTCAAGATAACCCTGCTGCTGGTAGGACATAGTGTTGCTTTCAGACTTTTTCTCCGGGGGGGGGGGGGGGCACTTTATATCTTCCGGAGGGGGGACAAAGTTTCTGGGGGGAGAGGGGTGGGGGTTGGCGGACACAGGTAGAAGTATATGTTTTCCATATAAAGTCCATTTCATTCGGGGGGGGGGGCGGTATACTTTCCCCCGGATGGGGGGGGGGGATGGGGGGGGATGGGGTGGGCAGCCTTTTGTCACCGACAACATTATTTTTTTAGTAGTGGACTGAATGACTTTGTCTAGCAATTGACTGAATGTTTCTGTCATCAAACAGGAAATGCGAAGCTTGCCTGATGAATACAAAGCTAAAATTATGTCCAGGTATGCAGAGGAGCTGACCCGAATTGACAAGTCTACCTCATTGGCAGATACTGACAAGTCTACCTCGTTGGCAGATACTGACAAGTCTACCTCGTTGGCAGATGCTGACAAGTCTACCTCGTTAGTAGATACTGGCGTGTCTACCTCGGCAGATACTGACAAGTCTACATCGGCAGATACTGACAAGTCTACCTCGGCAGATACTGACAAGTCTACCTCGGCAGATACTGACAAGTCTACCTCGACAGATACTGACAAGTCTACCTCGTTGGAAGATACTGACAAGTCTACCTCGTTGGAAGATATTGACAGCGTCACTCGGTTGCTAGGCGACTCCGGCGTCACCCATTGGATAAAAGCGACGGAAATCGGCAACGAACTGATTTGCATTGTGACGTTAAAATGTAAAGGTAGGTCATTAGGTCACTAAAGGTCATTAGTTTACCAGAAGTAGGTCATTCACTAGAGGCAGATTTCAAGCATTTGAAACGAACCTAATGTGTCAAGTGTTGCCAATGTGCACACTGTAATTGTACCTGCCCCAATGGACAGATAAAGTAGAGTTGACGTCAATCCGATAATCTCTGTAAAGAACACTTAAAGATTGTGGGATTTAGGAATAGAAACTGCACTGGGGTTCAGACACTAGGGCTTAGACTCTGGGGTTTAGACACTGGGGTTTAGAGACTGGGGTTTAGACACTGGGGTTTAGACACTGGGGTTTAGAGACTGGGGTTTAGACACTGGGGTTCAGACTCTGGGGTTTAGACTCTGGGGTTTAGACACTGGGGTTTAGACACTGGGGTTTAGACACTGGGGTTCAGACACTAGGGTTTAGACACTGGGGTTTAGACACTGGGGTTAAGACACTGGGGTTTAGACTGAGGTTTAGACAATGGGTTAAAACACTAGGGTTTAGACACGTGGGTTCATACACTGGGGTTCAAACACTGGGGTTTAGACTGAGGTTTAGACAATGGGTTCAAACACTAGGGTTTAGACGCTGGCTTTTAGGATTTGGAGCTATTGAGATTCAAACTTTGAGGTTCGAGCACTGGGGTTCAAAACTTTAGGGTTTAGATACTAGGGTTCACACTTTGGGGCTCATGAGATTTAGACATTATCGCGATTAAAATATCCCATAATTTCTGCCTTGGACAGGTAAGGTGAAAAAGAAATGGCTGACGGAGAAACTGGCCAGAAGACTAGGCTCCACGGGTCAGCTTGACCGGCAGCTGGAAAACTTCCAGAGCCTGAGCCAGGTCATCGAGAACTTGTGCAAGGACATCAAGATGGCCACCTTCAGCTACCAGCCGCTGGACACCCGCCCCCAGACACTGGAGCAGATGCTCAAGCTGATGAAGGGCTGGACCTACGACTGCGCCGCGGTCGTACGGACCTGCAAACAACAGGCGACGGCTGGAGGCCACGGGCGCCCCAAGGAACGGGGGCGTCTCACCTTAGGGAGCGCTTTAGCCTGCTTCGGCGGCAGGAGTAGGGAGGTGCCGGATGTGGACAGTCACGTGATGCCATTCAGCAGCCGACAGGTGGAGTCACGTGACTCGATCGTACAGCGACCGTTACACGGTACGAACTTGAGGGCTCCCCCCCCCCACACACACTCACACTTCTCCTTGAGATTTTAGGTCCAGTGTTTCTTTCAGACATTTATGCTTAGAGGGAGGGACTCTTGAAACTTTTGCGGGAGAGTGGCAATTAAATTTCTGAGGGGCGGGGGAGTGTACATTGGTTTAAGTTGGTCAAAATTTTTCTATACAAATTATATTTTTAAAAATTTCGTTCATGGGGGAGGGAGGGGGCGGTGGACGTGCTCCGGTAGGTAGAACCTCCCGCTCCCCCCCCCCCCAGAAATGCCTGAAAGAAACTCTGCTGCCGACAATCCCCGTTGAGAAATGTTGCAAATTGTCGACCTCAACCGACATTCGAGATTTTAAAAAAAAAACAGCTGTCCATATAAACCAAAAGCTAGAAGATTCATTATATAATAATAGTTACGCTATTCTGTCACTTTGTATGTCACTTTATCATTAATAGCCTACGGCAGATTGATACGTTTTTAGAATATATTTTTTTTACAAAGTCTTTTTAAATTCGAATTAAATGCTAAATCTAAATTTTGTGCGCCTCACTATATTAAATAAAATAAATAAAAAGAAAACAAAAAACGTTATAATAATAAGCTTTTAAATGTAGGCCTACTTAAAATATTTTGGGAGAGTTTTTATACAATCTTGCTTGTCGCCACGAAGGAGCGTTTCCAGAAAATTAAAACGTAATCGTTGCATCAAAAGTTGGTCAAAATTGGGTTAAGTTATTTGCCAAACAAATAAACAAACGGTGTGAACTAAATTAAAGCTAAAATTAAAATAAATGAAATGTAAACACGCCTACCTGTGCTCGAATCAGTCCCCATTTTATAGTTCCATTTATTGACAATCTCTTTGTATTAAACTTTACGAGCTTAGCTGTGTTATATAAGTTGTGTAGTATACGAACACGCAGGGTAAAAAACAAAGATCCAACGTGTTGATGTTAAAACTGTTACGTAGCGTTAGTTTAGCCCAGGTGTGTTTCTACGAGTGAGCGATTGCCGTGTAGAGCACGCCAAAAGACAACATTGTTGTGAGCTGATCTTTTGTTTACCCTGCCATTACAGTGTCCAACACGTTCGGTTCGCAAAACTTTGACTACATTCCGGAATGGGACAATTACTTGGACTTCACAAAGCTCGACAAGAATGTCTACGTGTTAAGGTTTGTCGTGCAAGATATCCAGGTTAGTGTTTGGTTAGAGAATACATTCGTTTAATATATATATATAGATAGATCTCTATACACGTTCGTAATTACAGAAGACAAACAATATTTACCAATGTTATGCGCCTTTTATTGAATCATTTTATATTAAAAAACTAATTAGAGTTGATCTGCTGATTGCTTGTATTTGTCTCATTAAAGCTCGCATAGACACCCCGTCACGCTATTTGAGCAGATTGTTGTCTAACTCGTCGCTCACCTCTACACACACACACACACACATCTCCGTACCCATAGCTACATGACCCACCCCAACATCCCCGCCCATTATTCTAACAATGAATTAGAACATTTATTTCATTAAGTTTTTATTTATTCTAAAGAGATTTACACAAATATATCAGCGTATCATTATCCCCTATCGTAATGTATTTCCTGACATAAAAGCAGAATTTCTTCCAAGCATCTCTTCGGGGGGGGGGGGGGGGGGGGGCAGAGTTCTGACGTAATCCTCGTGAAAGTTCCCAGAACGGAAAAATGTGCAAATATTAACATATATATCTCCCAATATATCTACTTTCATTTCCTTATAGATCTGTCGTAAGAAGATATTTTACAGTTCTTCATTCAAATTGTCTTTAACTTACTGATTTAAAAAATTCCCATGCACACACTTTTGTGCACATTTTTCAGTCCTGCAAAATTTTAATTTTTACCAATCTCTCCCCTGAACACTAGTGTGACGCTGACGTTCTGCCCGGCAGTGAGGCATTGTGGGACACCAGCTTCGTCTCGGCTACAACATGGCTGCCAGACACGCCCACAACCGAGCTAGACACGCCCACAGGCAAGCCAGACACGCCCATAGCCGAGACGGACACGCCCACAGCCGAGCCCAGCTGCCGGGGGCTGAGGACGGAGATGATTGACAGGTTCCGACAGACGCTGGAGGAGGAGCTTAAGACCTGCAGCTGTGAGGGGGTGGGGCTGAAGCTGCAGAGGTTACACCAAGAGGTCAGGGCCATCTCGCCCGTCAGCCCACAGTTTTACACGCTGGTTGCACGTCTGCAACACTCGTACGAGCTGCTCACCAGCAGACGTATCAACATTGTCACGTGACTCGTTGGTTGTGACATTCAACTGAGAAGGTGACACAGTACACCAGAAGGTGACAGTACACCAGAAGGTGACACCGTTAAACGGAAGTTGATAAAAAAAAGTATGACACTACAAACAGGACAAACGCGCATCGCCAAAAACTGGTTTACAATACAACGATCTTTACACAGACCAAGTTTACACATAGGCAAAGTTCTCTCGAAGGGCCCCCCTCCTACCTCCCAGACAACTGGGTGTGCCCCCCTCCAACAGACAACTGGCTGGGGGCCACCAAAGATCTGTTGGTTCAACAGATTCTGCACACATTGTTTAAGAAAAAAATGTACTAAGTATATATTTACAAAATATTTTTATTTAACTTATAATACAAACTGAACGGCCTCTGAGAAAATTGTCATCTTCATGATTACTTGCTTGCCAGACACAGCTGACCTTGAACTTGGGTTCATGAGGCCAAGGTTGCCCACAGGGTCATGCTAGCAGTAACTGTTAACACAGAGAAGGACAGAGCAGACAAACTATTTGCCAGGCGGATTTTCTGTGTAGTCTTGTAGCACCCCCTCCAGATGGTCGTTGTGTTTCTTGAAGCTGCGGGGCTTCTGTTTGCCTTTCTTCCTTCGTGGTAGGGCAGACTAGAAAATAAAACAGTTCTTTCATTACATTCTGTGGCTAGAGTTTTACAACCTACCATTTTCATTTAACTCATCTCCCAATACTTTGACTTACCACTTCCATACACCCAACCTAAATTACGATGTAGCCCATGAACCTACCCATCAGCCCATGAACCTACCCAACTAGCCCATGAACCTACCCACCTAGCCCATGAACCTACCCAGTCGCCCATGAACCTACCCATCAACCCATGAACCCACCCACCTAGCCCATGAACCTACCCACCTAGCCCATGAACCTACCCACCTAGTCCATGAACCTACCCACCTAGCCCATGAACCTACCCACCTAGCCCATGAACCTACCCACCCAGCCCATGAGCCTACCCACCTAGCCCATGAACCTACCCATCAGCCCATGAACCCACCCACCTAGCCCATGAACCTACCCAGTCGCCCATGAACCTACCCATGAACCTACCCATGAACCTACCCCTTTCTTGTAGCCTGAAGCCTCCATGGATGTGATTCCATGAACCTACCCATCAGCCCATGAACCTACCCATCAGCCCATGAACCTATCATCTAGCCCATGAACCTACCCATGAACCTATCCCATGAACCTACCCCTTTCTTGTAGCCTGAAGCCTCCATGGATGTGATTCCATGAACCTACCCATCAGCCCATGAACCTACCCATCAGCCCATGAACCTATCATCTAGCCCATGAACCTACCCATGAACCTATCCCATGAACCTACCCCTTTCTTGTAGCCTGAAGCCTCCATGGATGTGATTCCATGAACCTACCCATCAGCCCATGAACCTACCCATCAGCCCATGAACCTATCATCTAGCCCATGAACCTACCCATGAACCTACCCACCTAGCCCATGAACCCACCCACCTAGCCCATGAACCTACCCATGAACCTACCCACCTAGCCCATGAACCTACCCACCTAGCCCATGAACCTACCCATGAACCTACCCATGAACCTACCCACCTAGCCCATGAACCTACCCACCTAGCCCATGAACCTACCCATGAACCTACCCACCTAGCCCATGAACCTACCCATGAACCTACCCACCTAGCCCATGAACCTACCCACCTAGCCCATGAACCTACCCACCTAGCCCATGAACCTACCCATGAACCTACCCATGAACCTACCCATGAACCTACCCACCTAGCCCATGAACCTACCCACCTAGCCCATGAACCTACCCATGAACCTACCCACCTAGCCCATGAACCTACCCATGAACCTAGTCCATGAACCTACCACTTTCTTGTAGCCTGAAGCCTCCATGGATGTGATGCCTTGCTTGTTGAGGTACTCCTCAATCTTCTGGTCGTCCAGACCCACCTAGCCCATGAACCTACCCACCTAGCCCATGAACCTACCCACCTAGCCCATGAACCTACCCATGAACCTACCCACCTATCCCATGAACCTACCCACCTAACCCATGAACCTATCATCTAGCCCATGAACCTACCCATGAACCTACCCATGAACCTACCCACCTAGCCCATGAACCTACCCATGAACCTAGTCCATGAACCTACCACTTTCTTGTAGCCTGAAGCCTCCATGGATGTGATGCCTTGCTTGTTGAGGTACTCCTCAATCTTCTGGTCGTCCAGACCCACCTAGCCCATGAACCTACCCACCTAGCCCATGAACCTACCCACCTAGCCCATGAACCTACCCATGAACCTACCCATGAACCTACCACTTTCTTGTAGCCTGAAGCCTCCATGGATGTGATTCCCTGCTTGTTGAGATACTCCTCAATCTTCTGGTCGTCCAGGCCCACCCAGCCCATGAACCTACCCATGAACCTACCCATGAACCTACCCACCTAGCCCATGAACCCACCCACCTAGCCCATGAACCTATCATCTAGCCCATGAACCTACCCATGAACCTACCCATGAACCTACCCACCTAGCCCATGAACCTACCCACCTAGCCCATGAACCTACCCATGAACCTAGTCCATGAACCTACCACTTTCTTGTAGCCTGAAGCCTCCATGGATGTGATGCCTTGCTTGTTGAGGTACTCCTCAATCTTCTGGTAGTCCAGGCCCACCTAGCCCATGAACCTACCCACCTAGCCCATGAACCTATCATCTAGCCCATGAACCTACCCATGAACCTACCCACCTAGTCCATGAACCTACCCATGAACCTACCCATCTAGCCCATGAACCTACCCATGAACCTACCCACCTAGTCCATGAACCTACCCATGAACCTACCCATGAACCTACCCACCTAGCCCATGAACCCACCCACCTAGCCCATGAACCTATCATCTAGCCCATGAACCTACCCATGAACCTACCCACCTAGTCCATGAACCTACCCATGAACCTACCCATGAACCTACCCACCTAGCCCATGAACCTACCCATGAACCTACCCACCTAGTCCATGAACCTACCCACCTAGCACATGAACCTACCCACCTAGCACATGAACCTACCCACCTAGCCCATGAACCTACCCACCTAGCCCATGAACCTACCCACCTAGCCCATGAACCTACCCACCTAGCCCATGAACCTACCCACCTAGCCCATGAACCTACCCACCTAGCCCATGAACCTACCCATGAACCTACCCATGAACCTACCCACCTAGCCCATGAACCTACCCATGAACCTACCCACCTAGCCCATGAACCTACCCACCTAGCCCATGAACCTACCCACCTAGCCCATGAACCTACCCACCTAGCCCATGAACCTACCCACCTAGCCCATGAACCTACCCACCTAGCCCATGAACCTACCCATGAACCTACCCACCTAGCCCATGAACCTACCCACCTAGCCCATGAACCTACCCACCTAGCCCATGAACCTACTCACCTAGCCCATGAACCTACCCACCTAGCCCATGAACCTACCCACCTAGCCCATGAACCTACCCACCTAGCCCATGAACCTACCCACCTAGCCCATGAACCTACCCACCTAGCCCATGAACCTACCCACCTAGCCCATGAACCTACCCACCTAGCCCATGAACCTACCCACCTAGCCCATGAACCTACCCATGAACCTACCCATGAACCTACCCACCTAGCCCATGAACCTACCCATGAACCTACCCACCTAGCCCATGAACCTACCCATGAACCTACCCATGAACCTACCACTTTCTTGTAGCCTGAAGCCTCCATGGATGTGATGCCTTGCTTGTTGAGATACTCCTCAATCTTCTGGTCGTCCAGACCCATCTAGCCCATGAACCTACCCATGAACCTACCCATGAACCTACCCACCTAGCCCATGAACCTACCCACCTAGCCCATGAACCTACCCATGAACCTACCCATGAACCTACCACTTTCTTGTAGCCTGAAGCCTCCATGGATGTGATGCCTTGCTTGTTGAGATACTCCTCAATCTTCTGGTAGTCCAGGCCCACCTAGCCCATGAACCTACCCACCTAGCCCATGAACCTACCCACCTAGCCCATGAACCTAGCCCATGAACCTACCCATGAACCTATCCCATGAACCTACCACTTTCTTGTAGCCTGAAGCCTCCATGGATGTGATTCCCTGCTTGTTGAGATACTCCTCAATCTTCTGGTCGTCCAGACCCTCCACTGGAACACTCCGCCAAAGTTTCTGGAACTCTGGGAAACATGGTGACAGCTGGGATCATTTCTTGCACAACAAACATAAATTACTGTCAATGACTTAGGCAAGCCCGGCCTGACCGTGTCATCCCTACCCTCATTATCCCCCCCAAATTATGCTGGGTATCAACAAAAGCTGGTGAGCCATGTAGCAGACACCATGGCTTGCTGTATTAACCTGTAAACCAGCATCAGCTTACCTTCATCCACAGAAAACCTACAGTAGCGGTCATTGTAGAATAAAACTTCTTTCTTGTTCTGAGGCTGTTTGACGTAGATAATGTAGTCTGATATGGTCTGGAATAACAAAATATGTAAACTTGACGTAGATAATGTAGTCTGATATGGTCTGGTGGAATAACAAAATAAAACATGAGACAGGTTTTATGTGATCATTAATCTTACTAATCCTGAAGAGATAGCTGTTCTAATTAATCTCGACTCTCCAACCGGTCTCACTAATCTTGACTGTTAGTCTCACTAATCTTGACTGTTAGTCTCACTAATCTTGACTGTTAGTCTCACTAATCTTGACTGTTAGTCTCACTAATCTTGACTGTTAGTCTCACTAATCTTGACTGTTAGTCTCACTAATCTTGACTGTTAGTCTCACTAATCTTGACTGTTAGTCTCACTAATCTTGACCGTTAGTCTCACTAATCTTGACCGTTAGTCTCACTAATCTTGACCGTTAGTCTCACTAATCTTGACCGTTAGTCTCACTAATCTTGACCGTTAGTCTCACTAATCTTGACCGTTAGTCTCACTAATCTTGACCGTTAGTCTCACTAATCTTGACCGTTAGTCTCACTAATCTTGACCGTTAGTCTCACTAATCTTGACCGTTAGTCTCACTAATCTTGACCGTTAGTCTCACTAATCTTGACCGTTAGTCTCACTAATCTTGACCGTTAGTCTCACTAATCTTGACCGTTAGTCTCACTAATCTTGACCGTTAGTCTCACTAATCTTGACCGTTAGTCTCACTAATCTTGACCGTTAGTCTCACTAATCTTGACCGTTAGTCTCACTAATCTTGACCGTTAGTCTCACTAATCTTGACCGTTAGTCTCACTAATCTTGACCGTTAGTCTCACTAATCTTGACCGTTAGTCTCACTAATCTTGACCGTTAGTCTCACTAATCTTGACCGTTAGTCTCACTAATCTTGACCGTTAGTCTCACTAATCTTGACCGTTAGTCTCACTAATCTTGACCGTTAGTCTCACTAATCTTGACCGTTAGTCTCACTAATCTTGACCGTTAGTCTCACTAATCTTGACCGTTAGTCTCACTAATCTTGACCGTTAGTCTCACTAATCTTGACCGTTAGTCTCACTAATCTTGACTGTTGGTCTAACCTTTAACACTTTCTGCATGTTGGGTAAACTCTCCTCGATATCATCGATCAAAATTCCTCCCCTCCCATGCAGGTCATGTGACCTGAGTAGCTTGACCAGACTCTTCTTGTCGTGGACATCAAACTTTGGCTTGAAGCAAAATTTGCTGACACCGTCTTCTTTCACCACCACAATTTTTGGATTATTCACTAAAGACTGATGAATTAAAACAAAAATTGGATTATAATGGTGTATATAACTACCATTCTATGTATAGTGTATAATTTTACAGTTACAGATCATGTAAAATAATAGTGAAGAATTATAAAGGGCATTCACTTGTTTTTAAAAGAACGATAGTATGTGTAAGTTATTAATGTGGGTAGGGGTTGGGGGGTGTTGAAGTAGTACCTGACACAAAGAATAAACTCTGGTGAAGTCTAGTCTGTTGGTCAGTGTCAGGATGTTGCTACGACAATCAATGGTCAAGATCATACAGTGAACAGAGTCACAACCAACAAAGTGGGTCAAATTTCAAGTGTGCTAACAAAACTCTACTTCACCTGTCAAGTTGAATTTTTATAAAAAACTTGACCAGTCTGTGGAACAATGATGCCCAACAAACCTCTGTGAGCAGCCAATGTTTCATCTTGCTTGTGATGTCCAGCTGGTTGGTCTCATCTAAAATTTCCTCTAGCAACAGGGGGTCATTGATGCCTGTCTGGTGGCGTGACTGGGGAAATACAATACTTCTATCAGGGCTATAAGTAACACAATACTTCTATCAGGGTTATAACACAATACTTCTATCAGGGTTATAACACAATACTTCTATCAGGGTTATAACACAATACTTCTATCAGGGTTATAAGTAACACAATACTTCTATCAGGGGGTCATTGATGTCTGTCTGGTGGCGTGACTGGGGAAACACAATACTTCTATCAGGGTTATAACACAATACTTCTATCAGGGTTATAACACAATACTTCTATCAGGGTTATAACACAATACTTCTATCAGGGTTATAACACAATACTTCTATCAGGGTTATAACACAATACTTCTATCAGGGTTATAACACAATACTTCTATCAGGGTTATAACACAATACTTCTATCAGGGTTATAACACAATACTTCTATCAGGGTTATAAATAACACAATACTTCTATCAGGGTTATAACACAATACTTCTATCAGGGTTATAACACAATACTTCTATCAGGGTTATAACACAATACTTCTATCAGGGTTATAACACAATACTTCTATCAGGGTTATAACACAATACTTCTATCAGGGTTATAAATAACACAATACTTCTATCAGGGTTATAACACAATACTTCTATCAGGGTTATAACACAATACTTCTATCAGGGTTATAACACAATACTTCTATCAGGGTTATAAATAACACAATACTTCTATCAGGGTTATAACACAATACTTCTATCAGGGTTATAACACAATACTTCTATCAGGGTTATAACACAATACTTCTATCAGGGTTATAACACAATACTTCTATCAGGGTTATAACACAATACTTCTATCAGGGTTATAACACAATACTTCTATCAGGGTTATAACACAATACTTCTATCAGGGTTATAACACAATACTTCTATCAGGGTTATAAATAACACAATACTTCTATCAGGGTTATAACACAATACTTCTATCAGGGTTATAACACAATACTTCTATCAGGGTTATAACACAATACTTCTATCAGGGTTATAACACAATACTTCTATCAGGGTTATAACACAATACTTCTATCAGGGTTATAACACAATACTTCTATCAGGGTTATAACACAATACTTCTATCAGGGTTATAAATAACACAATACTTCTATCAGGGTTATAAATAACACAATACTTCTATCAGGGTTATAAATAACACAATACTTCTATCAGGGTTATAAATAACACAATACTTCTATCAGGGTTATAACACAATACTTCTATCAGGGTTATAACACAATACTTCTATCAGGGTTATAACACAATACTTCTATCAGGGTTATAAATAACACAATACTTCTATCAGGGTTATAACACAATACTTCTATCAGGGTTATAACACAATACTTCTATCAGGGTTATAACACAATACTTCTATCAGGGTTATAACACAATACTTCTATCAGGGTTATAACACAATACTTCTATCAGGGTTATAACACAATACTTCTATCAGGGTTATAACACAATACTTCTATCAGGGTTATAACACAATACTTCTATCAGGGTTATAACACAATACTTCTATCAGGGTTATAACACAATACTTCTATCAGGGTTATAACACAATACTTCTATCAGGGTTATAAATAACACAATACTTCTATCAGGGTTATAACACAATACTTCTATCAGGGTTATAAATAACACAATACTTCTATCAGGGTTATAACACAATACTTCTATCAGGGTTATAAATAACACAATACTTCTATCAGGGTTATAACACAATACTTCTATCAGGGTTATAACACAATACTTCTATCAGGGTTATAACACAATACTTCTATCAGGGTTATAACACAATACTTCTATCAGGGTTATAACACAATACTTCTATCAGGGTTATAACACAATACTTCTATCAGGGTTATAAATAACACAATACTTCTATCAGGGTTATAAATAACACAATACTTCTATCAGGGTTATAACACAATACTTCTATCAGGGTTATAACACAATACTTCTATCAGGGTTATAACACAATACTTCTATCAGGGTTATAACACAATACTTCTATCAGGGTTATAACACAATACTTCTATCAGGGTTATAACACAATACTTCTATCAGGGTTATAACACAATACTTCTATCAGGGTTATAACACAATACTTCTATCAGGGTTATAACACAATACTTCTATCAGGGTTATAAATAACACAATACTTCTATCAGGGTTATAACACAATACTTCTATCAGGGTTATAAATAACACAATACTTCTATCAGGGTTATAACACAATACTTCTATCAGGGTTATAAATAACACAATACTTCTATCAGGGTTATAACACAATACTTCTATCAGGGTTATAACACAATACTTCTATCAGGGTTATAAATAACACAATACTTCTATCAGGGTTATAACACAATACTTCTATCAGGGTTATAACACAATACTTCTATCAGGGTTATAACACAATACTTCTATCAGGGTTATAACACAATACTTCTATCAGGGTTATAACACAATACTTCTATCAGGGTTATAACACAATACTTCTATCAGGGTTATAACACAATACTTCTATCAGGGTTATAACACAATACTTCTATCAGGGTTATAACACAATACTTCTATCAGGGTTATAACACAATACTTCTATCAGGGTTATAACACAATACTTCTATCAGGGTTATAACACAATACTTCTATCAGGGTTATAACACAATACTTCTATCAGGGTTATAAATAACACAATACTTCTATCAGGGTTATAACACAATACTTCTATCAGGGTTATAAATAACACAATACTTCTATCAGGGTTATAAGTAACACAATACTTCTATCAGGGCTATAAATAACACAATACTTCTATCAGGGTTATAAATAACACAATACTTCTATCAGGGTTATAACACAATACTTCTATCAGGGTTATAAATAACACAATACTTCTATCAGGGTTATAAGTAACACAATACTTCTATCAGGGTTATAAATAACACAATACTTCTATCAGGGTTATAAGTAACACAATACTTCTATCAGGGTTATAAATAACACAATACTTCTATCAGGGTTATAAGTAACACAATACTTCTATCAGGGTTATAAGTAACACAATACTTCTATCAGGGTTATAAATAACACAATACTTCTATCAGGGTTATAAGTAACACAATACTTCTATCAGGGCTATAAATAACACAATACTTCTATCAGGGTTATAAGTAACACAATACTTCTATCAGGGTTATAAGTAACACAATACTTCTATCAGGGTTATAAATAACACAATACTTCTATCAGGGTTATAAGTAACACAATACTTCTATCAGGGCTATAAATAACACAATACTTCTATCAGGGTTATAAATAACACAATACTTCTATCAGGGTTATAAATAACACAATACTTCTATCAGGGTTATAAGTAACACAATACTTCTATCAGGGCTATAAATAACACAATACTTCTATCAGGGTTATAAATAACACAATACTTCTATCAGGGTTATAAGTAACACAATACTTCTATCAGGGCTATAAATAACACAATACTTCTATCAGGGTTATAAATAACACAATACTTCTATCAGGGTTATAAATAACACAATACTTCTATCAGGGTTATAAATAACACAATACTTCTATCAGGGTTATAAGTAACACAATACTTCTATCAGGGCTATAAATAACACAATACTTCTATCAGGGTTATAAATAACACAATACTTCTATCAGGGTTATAAGTAACACAATACTTCTATCAGGGCTATAAATAACACAATACTTCTATTAGGGTTATAAGTAACACAATACTTCTATCAGGGTTATAAATAACACAATACTTCTATCAGGGTTATAAATAACACAATACTTCTATCAGGGTTATAAATAACACAATACTTCTATCAGGGTTATAAGTAACATAATACTTCTATCAGGGCTATAAATAACACAATACTTCTATCAGGGTTATAAATAACACAATACTTCTATCAGGGTTATAAGTAACACAATACTTCTATCAGGGCTATAAATAACACAATACTTCTATTAGGGTTATAAGTAACACAATACTTCTATCAGGGTTATAAATAACACAATACTTCTATCAGGGTTATAAATAACACAATACTTCTATCAGGGTTATAAATAACAAAATACTTTTATCAGGTTATAAATAACACTATACTTCTATCAGGGTTATAAATAACAAAATACTTTTATCAGGTTATAAATAACACAATACTTCTATCAGGGTTATAAATAACACAATACTTCTATCAGGGCTATAAATAACACAATACTTCTATCAGGGCTATAAGTAACACAATACTTCTATCAGGGCTATAAATAACACAATACTTCTATCAGGGATATAAATAACACAATACTTCTATCAGGGTTATAAATAACACAATACTTCTATCAGGGTTATAAATAACACAATACTTCTATCAGGGTTATAAATAACACAATACTTCTATCAGGGTTATAAATAACACAATACTTCTATCAGGGTTATAAATAACACAGTTCTTCTATCAGGGTTATAAATTACACAATACTTTTATCAGGGTTATAAATAACACAATACTTCTATCAGGGTTATAAATTACACAATAATAACAGAATACTTCTATCAGGGTTATAAATTACACAATAATAACACAATATTTATATCAGGGTTATAAATAACACAGTTCTTCTATCAGGGCTATAAATAACACAATACTTTTATCAGGTTATAAATAACACAATACTTCTATCAGGGTTATAAATAACACAATACTTCTATCAGGGTTATAAATAACAAAATACTTTTATCACGTTATAAATAACACTATACTTCTATCAGGGTTATAAATAACAAAATACTTTTATCAGGTTATAAATAACACAATACTTCTATCAGGGTTATAAATAACACAATACTTCTATCAGGGCTATAAATAACACAATACTTCTATCAGGGTTATAAATAACACAATACTTCTATCAGGGTTATAAATAACACAGTTCTTCTATCAGGGTTATAAATTACACAATACTTTTATCAGGGTTATAAATAACACAATACTTCTATCAGGGTTATAAATTACACAATAATAACAGAATACTTCTATCAGGGTTATAAATTACACAATAATAACACAATATTTATATCAGGGTTATAAATAACACAGTTCTTCTATCAGGGCTATAAATAACACAATACTTTTATCAGGTTATAAATAACACAATACTTCTATCAGGGTTATAAATAACACAATACTTCTATCAGGGTTATAAATAACAAAATACTTTTATCAGGTTATAAATAACACTATACTTCTATCAGGGTTATAAATAACAAAATACTTTTATCAGGTTATAAATAACACAATACTTCTATCAGGGTTATAAATAACACAATACTTCTATCAGGGCTATAAATAACACAATACTTCTATCAGGGCTATAAGTAACACAATACTTCTATCAGGGCTATAAATAACACAATACTTCTATCAGGGATATAAATAACACAATACTTCTATCAGGGTTATAAATAACACAATACTTCTATCAGGGTTATAAATAACACAATACTTCTATCAGGGTTATAAATAACACAATACTTCTATCAGGGTTATAAATAACACAATACTTCTATCAGGGTTATAAATAACACAGTTCTTCTATCAGGGTTATAAATTACACAATACTTTTATCAGGGTTATAAATAACACAATACTTCTATCAGGGTTATAAATTACACAATAATAACAGAATACTTCTATCAGGGTTATAAATTACACAATAATAACACAATATTTATATCAGGGTTATAAATAACACAGTTCTTCTATCAGGGCTATAAATAACACAATACTTTTATCAGGTTATAAATAACACAATACTTCTATCAGGGTTATAAATAACAAAATACTTCTATCAGGGTTATAAATAACAAAATACTTTTATCAGGTTATAAATAACACAATACTTCTATCAGGGTTATAAATAACACAATACTTCTATCAGGGTTATAAATAAGACAATATTTCTATCAGGGTTATAAATAACACAATACTTCTATCAGGGCTATAAATAACACAATACTTCTATCAGGGTTATAAATAACACAATACTTCTATCAGGGTTATAAATAAGACAATACTTCTATCAGGGTTATAAATAAGACAATATTTCTATCAGGGTTATAAATAACACAATACTTCTATCAGGGCTATAAATAACACAATACTTCTATCAGGGTTATAAATAACACAATACTTCTATCAGGGTTATAAATAAGACAATATTTCTATCAGGGTTATAAATAACACAATACTTCTATCAGGGTTATAAATAAGACAATATTTCTATCAGGGTTATAAATAACACAATACTTCTATCAGGGTTATAAATAAGACAATATTTCTATCAGGGTTATAAATAACACAATACTTCTATCAGGGCTATAAATAACACAATACTTCTATCAGGGCTATAAATAACACAATACTTCTATCAGGGCTATAAATAAGACAATATTTCTATCAGGGTTATAACACACACTGCATCCAAGCAGTTGTCAAAGAAAAAAAGAACAAAGAAGAAATATTTAGTTTTACATATAGCTAGTTACACTGGTGAACAATTGTTAGATTACACTGAAGTGAAATGTGCACAGACCCCTTGTCCAAAATTTAAAATAATGAAAACATGGCTCACACCTTCATGTACTTGACAATCTTGGCTAAAACACCAAACTTGTACTGTGAGCTGCCTTGTGATAGCTTGTAATCAACTGTATCTAGAACATGAATTAAACACATCAATGTTTACATGATCAGTAACATGATATGAGGACTGAATGATCCGCTAATATTACAGCTGATCTTTATTATAGTTATAACATATAAATAAAAGTGCACTGTTATAATACCAGTGAAAGCTGTTCACTTACTGACAGGTTTTGGTGTTGGAGGCTTGATTTTTGCCTTCTTTGCTTTCTTATCGTTGCCATCATTTCCAGACTTTGATTTTCTCTTCTCAACTGCTGGGGTTGCCTTTGCTCGCTTAAGAAAGGCTTCTCGTTCTTTCAAAAGTGCTGGATCCATTGTGACAGTCTGTGCTACAAAATAAAGTATCAATTGAATAAACTATTTAGATTAGCTTTAAAAGAACCTGCATGCACTAGAGTAATGAAGCAATTACTAGTCTGTCTTATGGTCATTACATATTCTTAATTAACAGACTTAACTACAAACTGGTACTTACGATTACTAAAACTGACGATGACTTTAAAATTATTAGTTTTATCCTATACCACTAAATGAAAATGAAACAGACTGCCGTCTTAGTAATGTGCTTCTTGTTCTAACGCTGCCTTGGGCAGTGAGATAGAAATAAAACAAACAAACCCAGAAGTTGTCTACACAGATTCATTATTTAGATCAAAATTATAGATCTATTTATTACTCTGGCTGGCATAATAATTAATATTATTATGGCATTGATTATTTTAGCCTATAGGCCTATTTAATTTTATTTCACTAACATGAAAAAAATTAGATGAATTAAAAGTTTAAATGTAAATAAATACAAACTGAAAAACTAAACTTATAAATAAACTATCACACAAATAGCCTTTGAGATATTTAACAGTTATTAGATCTAAATAACTAGCTAGGGGCTAGATCTACCATTTAATATTTATTTATTTTATTTGACTTAGGCTAGGGACTTGGATGACGTAGATTTTGAGGCACTAAAAACGAGAGTTTTCTGCCCATACCGAGTTTCGTCGATTTAGCCGTGCGGTCGCGGGTGATGATCGAAAAAATTTTTTTTTATTAAAAATCGCCGATGCTACTAATAATTTGATGACTGATTCTGAAAAACAAATGAATTTCATATGTTACGGTATTTTTGTTTTGAGATTTTGTTGAAGGTGAAAATGGATTTTTGGAGCCAAACTTTGGCTACGTAAAACTCTTTGTACCATAAAAACTTACTAACAAGGAAGGCCATTAAAAAGCCCTCCGACCATAATCACCATTTTTCTTTATGTGTGTAAATTTTCATAATGTTAATCGATAGCAAAGTATTTTTTTATAAATAGTTTAGAAAGTATAGCCTTAAGCCATTTTACGACTACCGGGAAAGACAGAGGTTGAAACCGGAAGTGTACTTGTGTTGTTAATGACGCCATTGCTCTCAATTGAATTGATTTGTAAATCCAGCAACATCCACACGAATCTGACTTTAAAATCATTTTAAACTATAGAATTATATTTTATATTGATAAAACTATGATTTTTTGTTGACTTTGTGCGCATATTTTCTATTTAGATTCATTTTTTTTGTAATTTTGAGTTAGATCTAAAAATAGATTTCTGCGAAATTTTTCAAGTTGAATTATTGTTTCATTTTAATTGTATGGCCTAGATATAGATCTATATTGTTCTTGAATGAGTTCTATATTTTATATTAGCTATCATTATAGTATCTTGTGTACTTTCCACATTTTTCTTAAATTTTAAAGCTTGATATAGGCCTAGATCTAGAATCTAATATAAAATTCCATTTGCCTATCATTTGGTCTATAAATTTTCTTATAATAAGATATAGGCCAATAGGGTAATTCTATATTAAACATTTAGCCTTTTGATTGCTTTTCAAGCGAATTTTTATTACCAATATTACTAATATTCAAACATTTTAGGAGTCCTATATTTTCTTTATAGCTCTAGGACTTTGTTCATTTTAGATTTATTACTAAATTACTACAATCCTTGTACAATGTTCTGTCTTCATCTGTAGGCCTATTTGAAGTACATATGATACTACTGTATTTTTGCTGTAGTATACATCTCAGTTGCTTTTTTACTAGTCTTGGCCCTAGATAAAATGTACCAGTTCACAAGGGGATAGAGAATCAAAAGATGTGGATCTACTCATAAGCAACTTCAATGAAGGAGAAATAGGTCCACTTAAGAATGGATGTTGCTGGTTTTTATTACAGTTCTAAAAGCTATCAGTCAGAGGAGACACAGCTTCAGTAGATGTTTAATCAGATTTCATTTTTAAATCATTGATGGTGTTATTTTTTAAAGTAAAAAAGTGATACAAGCTAACAGACTTAAACATGTTATCCACACAGCATGAGATGTCACTTAAATATATGACAGATGTTTCTTAATTATAAAACTTACCTTTAACATTAAATGGTGATCATTACTCCACCAATAAAAAAAAATCATTTCAATTATTAAATTATTTGTTCAACAATAATTGTAAATTAAATTATATCAATTCTATGATAACATACACATAACAGGGATGAAATATCATGCATATTGACAACATTTAGATACAATTTTAGTAATCTAAAATCAGTTTAGCATTGTACTTCTTTCTTGCAAAAAAGTAGTTGCGCAGAACAAAAATGACTTTTTAAATTTGACCAACATTGTAACAAAACCACATAAGCTAAGTGAAATATTTTTACTTTGTGTGGATGTATACAATGTTGGCACCAATTAGGCCAATTTTCATTAAGATATTCCATATAATAAAAATTTGGCAACAGATTATGTGTTGCCTATAGCAGAATTTATTGTTTAAAATTAAGGGGGGTATATGAGTTTAAACCCCTTTTTCATTAAATAAAATATTTTTAAAATCAAATTTGAACAAAGGAAATATCAAAGTATATAATAACCTTCATGTTTACAATATTTCTTGCATATAAGCAAAGTAATCTAAAATCAGCTCAACATTGTACTTCTTTCTTCCAAAAAAAGTAGTTGCGCAGAATAAAAATGACTTTTTTATTTTGTCCAACATTGTAATAAAACCACATAAGCTAAGTAAAATATTTTGAATTTCTGTTAATGTATACAGTGTTGGCACTATTCAGGCCAATTTTCAGTAAGATATTCCATATAATAAAAATTTGGCAACAGATTGTGTGTAGCCTATCAAAGACGCTTATTCAAAAATTTTAGGGGGGTGACCCTCTTTGTTTACATTATTTTTTATGATCATTCTCATCCAATTCAATTATTTTTATCTTACTCTTTTACTGATATCATAAGCTTGATCTTAGTGAATTTTCATTAAAAAATACCTGCTATTTAAAAAGTTACAGAGATTTTAGTTCGCATCCAAAAAAGTAGGGAAGCAAAAAATTGAGAAAACCCCATAGTAAAAAAACCCGAAAATTAAATACATTAAAAATTCATAACTTCGTAACCGTTTGAGCTAAAATTAAAATAAAAGTATCTTTGTTCTTGTCTAAATGAGCTCTATAAACTGGTGCTACTACATTTTTGGTAAAACTCCATTTCAGCGTATTTTATTCTCCGCTTCTCGGCTACCTCCAGATGAGCGTATTTTATTATAATAACCGAAACACACCAAAACATTAGGAAAACACGATTTATTTATTTGTATTGTATTTTTGTTTTAACAAACTATTAAAAATGAATATTTAAAAAACACGACTTATTTATTTGTATTGTATTTTTTGTTTTAATAAATGAATAAAAATGAATGTAAACCACAAAGAGACTGACTGAAATGCTTTGTTTGTTGGTTACAAATAATAAAAAAGGTAGTCACACAAATTCAATTCAATGCAAAAAGTAATAGTAATAATATTCTTTTAACAAAAAATAAATAAATATAAAATGATGATTTTAATTTCAAATTGTTATATATCTGCATCTTCGCCATGTAGAATCCAGTTACGTCAAACCCCAAATGGGTTGGCAAAATATATTTTTCCATGCTCCCGATCTCCCGGTAACTTCCGGTTAATTTTTGTTTAGTGTTCCAATCTTATTCAAAAATCCAAAAAGTGCTGTATTTAAAAATATATATATATTAACATTTGTGGTTGATTTTCGTATCAGTTCTGTTTATAATTTATTTAATTGTTATAAACTATGCAACATGGCAGGTAGACCAAAAGTAGAACGTACTTCCATTGTAGATCCTGCCGAAATTTTAGATGCCGCATTCGTTGAAAATGAAATCTGGTGCATCGCATCACTGGCACTAATCCTAAATGAGACAGAGTCTGCCTTGATATGGCTAGCCAAGCGTAGGTTGCTTCGCAATACTATGATTTGTGATAGCTGCAAAGAACTATGCAAACTAATGACATATCGCCAAGGAATAGATGAGAAGAGGTGGGCGTGTCAACCATGCGGATTTAGGAAAAGTGTCAGTGAAGGTTCATTCTTCACAAAAAGCCACTTGACCTTGAAACAGATAATAATGCTGATTTACTGCTTTGCGCAGGATATGCCCCAAAGTCTTAGCAGACATGAGGCGCAAATTGAGAATGAAAAAACTGTGATTGATTGGTTTAACTTTTGCCGGGAAGATTCGGCGAGATTTTTGGAGCGGCGGCGAACTGAGATTGGAGGCATGGACGAGGATGGAAATCCAATAATTGTGGAGATAGACGAGTCAAAATATTTTCATAGAAAATATCATCGCGGTGCATGGCATGAGGGCCATTGGGTTTTTGGAGGGGTAGAAAGAGGATCGGGCAAGTGTTTTTTGATAGAGGTTCCGGACCGGACAGCTGCCACTCTGGAGCCAATCATATTAGACCATATTCTGCCTGGAAGTCATATCATATCTGATGGTTGGGCCTCATACAATAACATTGGCAATTTGGGGAACGGTATATATACGCATTCAGTGGTGGTCCATGAGCGCCATTTTGTGGACCCTGACGATGCCGACATCCACACGCAGAATATAGAAAATCTGTGGATGAGGGCCAAAAGGAAGCTAAAACGACAATTCGGAACCAGCCGAATTCTGTTTCCATCGTACTTAAAAGAATTTGAATATCGGTGTTCCGTTGTAGGGGGGAATGTTTTCAGCTCATTCCTTTTGGTGCTGGCTGAATTGTATCCAGTCTAACTCTACTATCATCCACTATTCTTCAATACTACTTTCTAAAACCTAATCAAAAATCTATCGGTTTTAAACTTCAACTGCTATCTAAGTGTTCTACTTTCTCTTTGGTTGGGATATACATCTTTCTGCTGATTTCTACCTAGTGACCAATGGCTTCCTACTTGAATTGCTGAACTATTTCTGTTGCATAAACGTGTGTCGTCACGCTTAGTAACCTGTCACAAGTTATTTTGTGTAGGCCTACTTTTTAAAAAAAGGCATTTGTCTCCTGGTGAAACTGATACACTGTTAATTATTCTTTATTATAGTTTTGTATTGTATTTATGCTATATCTTACTATGTTATTTAAATTCATAGAACTATCATTTCCAATATCTTGATATAATTATCAAGTATGTTTCTGTATGAGTACATTTTTCATGATTTTTGTATTTCATCTAAATGTACAAACTTTGTGTTTTTTTTTTATTTGACAGTTTTACAAAAAAAAAAAACTGAAAAATATTTATACTGTATAGTTTATGTTATTTACATTCATAGAACCATCCTTCCCAATATTTTGGTTTAATTATCATGTATGTTTTTTTTTGTATGAGTAAATTTCTGACTTTAAAAAAAATCATTAAAATGTAAATAAAAAATTGTGCTTTTTTACTTGTCAGTTTAGTTAAAACTTTAAGAAATGTCATAATTTGATATAATAAATTTGTAAATTTGTATTGTGGGGTCATCCATAAATGACGTCACGCTTTTTTGGACGATTTTACCCCCCCCCCCTCCCCGTCACACATCATCACAAAATTACCCCCCCCCCCCCCACTTCCCCCATTCCGGCAGCATTATTAATTATTATTATGCCTTTCATTCAGTTTAGTTAAAATTGAACACTTATTTGTACAAATTGTGCATTTCTATTTTTTGTAACCAACAAACAAAGCAATTCAGTCAGTCTCTGTGTTGTTTTTATTCATTTGTTAAAACAAAATAAAAATAAATAAATCGTGTAGCATTTCAGTCAGCCTGATTGTTGTTTTCATTAATTTTTATTCATTTGCTAAAACAAAAATACAATACAAAAAATAAATCGTGTTTTCCTAATGTTTTGGTGTGTTTCGGTTGTTATAATAAAATACGCTCAACTGGAGGTAAACAAGCAACGGAGAATAAAATACGCTGAAATGGAGTTTTACCACATTTTTTATTTTTTTAAAAATGAAATTTCATCCAAGTCCCTAACTTTAGTAACTTAGGCTCACTTAGGTCAGTGATCGTACCTCACTAACTCACTACCTACCTGCCTTTTTTTATTTTGTCAGTCTTTTAAATAAATTACCGATATATTTTTTAAGTCCTTTGATCTAGAATGCTGAGAAGACTCTTTCTAGATCTAGATTCTCTAGTCTAGTATTTACCAGACTCGATTTTTAACTAGAATTATAATAGATTTACTTAATTTTCAGCTTTCATTTTATTTATCGGTTGCATGAACTAGATCTATACTTGCCAGGTCAAATGATATAAAACAAGCAAAACATTTCTTCACACAGAAAGAAATGTCTCTCGTTCTCTCTTATAAAAGAATGTAATGGTATCAATAAAAATAGTGTAGGGCTAATGAAATATTAATAATCAAAATAAATGACGTCAATAATTTTTGCGTTTCAGAATGTTTAATCGAGATCTAATATTTCAACGCGTAGTCTTACTTTTTTTTTCTAGTCAATTTGAGCATAAAAAATAATTTGCCAATATGTCCTATTTTGTTATTCTAATTTTAAATGTAGTTAACAGAAAAATTCATGAGTAACCCGAATGCACAAACGTAGTAAATACAATTTAAAAATAGTTTTTAAAAAAGCAAACAATAACAGTGTTATTGTTTTTAACACAAAAATAAACTCAAATAAACACGGCAGTCAAGCCAGTGGCTCACAATTACCTTTTTCCATTCAACACATAACAAAATGGATGGTCGCCTTAATTTAAATAATCCATATACAACGTTTAATCAGAGTTCCTCCCAGTCATCTCTTCGAACAAAATGGAATTTATATAGGAAATAATAACTTTTACCAGTGTCCGCCCCCCCCCCCCCCAATTTAGTGTTCCTCACCCCTTCCCAGGAGAAAAAAGTCTGGAAGAAACACTGCGTTCGATCATTGTATTTTATATTAATAAGACTAACTTTAGTTGGATTTATTTTATCTAGATTACAATGATTCCTGTTATTGAACTTATAGACCCCCCTTTTGTTCCGTAAATTAATTATTTTGCGCGACACAATTTTTTTCTATTCATAGGCGTTGGCGCTCCAGGGGCGAACAACACGGTTTAGCTCCATTAACTTGCTAAATCCCGTGTAAAGTTCAAGTCGCGCATTGTCGAGAAAAACTAGATATTTGGCACAAATCATAATTAAGTAACAATTTGAGATTTTTTAACGGAGAAATTTAGAGAAACAATTTTTTAAAAAACTATCTAGTCATTCTTAACAACAATCAATTGATGGGGGAAAAACGTTAATTAATGTTATATTTGTACACTTGATTTCTTTTTAAGTGTTAAAAGATTTATCTACACTGACACCACAAGTTTGTTGTTATAGTCGAATGTATAATTCAGTGATGCAGCTCCAAATAATTTATCTTCATTTTTATCCCTATTGAAGCTGCCTAAGGGTCTGTCCCGATGTTGGTCTTATAAATAATAAATTATGGGACAGTTTCCCTAGACCGCGTATAAGAAATAATCCATAAGCACTCTATAGAATGAAAAGTACTCTAACAGTTGAAGTGCCAGTATTGTAGAGAAATGTAATAACAACATGTTTACACGTGAAGTAAGTTGGGCAAAGATTCTAAACATCACGTGAAAAATACCGGCCCAATAGTTTGTGTATGTTTTTTAGCGCAATTTCCATTCTGGAGAATTGCGTTTATTAACCCGTCATTTCTGGATGGATGAATGGATGGATGGATGAATGAATGAATGGATGAATGTGTGTCCGCAGCTTTAAGTCGTATCTCCTCCTCAACGAAGCAATATCGAGGACTAGTTCCAAAAGCAAATATGTTAAGCAAGTTACGAGAATGAGCATAGGCCATAAAAATTCCAGGTTTCTTTCATGGATTTCCCGGAAAAGCCAAAAAACCTCGGGAAAAAGCAGTTTTTGGCCCATATCTCGGCAACCAGACCACTTAGCGACTTGAAACATGTACCAATCGATTCCTGCCATAATTTAGAACAATATTGCCGAAGAAAGTTTTCAAAAATATCCTTTCGTTCGGTCACAAAAATTTTTTTGAATTAATTAAAATTTTGACCGAATTAGTAGGAATTTTTTCCAACCACACCACACGCGTCATCACGTTCAATAGCTGCGCCATCGCGTTCCATGGCTGCGCCATCATGTTCAGTAGGCGCGCAATGGTTTTTAGTCATGTAACTCTATTGTAAATAAAACATGTAAAATACTGAAAAAAAATTAATAAAAAACGTTTTAATAACTAACCAATGGTTTTACTAACCCTGCTCTTGATTTACGCTACGACAGAGCTATTTTTAGATAACATAAGGAAATTGCGCTAAAATTGTCACTAGACTTTTTAATTACCTTGTTTTAAATCTAAAAGGGATAGACCTTTCCCAAGCCGTAAGGTAATGATCACAGGTTTAGGGTTCAGTTTGGAATTAGGAAAGGTTCACGCGAAAGAACAAATCATTGCTCTCCTTCAAGCACTCAGATGTTTTTAGTATCACACTGGAGGCAATGATAACATTATTCTATTGTCATTAATACTTTTGTCTTAGATACGTTAAAAAAAAAACAGCAAGAAACAAAAACACAGGACAGCTGATTAAAAATGTCAAATCGACCTACATTTTCTATTATGTACCATGTCAGATTAAATACATAGACCTATTTTTAGAATCTTTGGGCTATTATGTTATTATGTATATTTCTTTATCTAAATGTTAAAATTTGAAACAATTTACTTGGATAAAATAATGTTTCACAAATATTTTTGCTTCTATATTCGCCTATAATCAGAGTTTCTTCCAGGCATCTCGTCTACCACCCCCCCCTCCCGAACGAAATCGAATTTATAATAATTTATATAGAAAATATATACTTTTACCAGTGTTCACCCCCCCCCTCCTGAAATTTTAGTGAATTTTAATGAAAGCTTAGTGCACTTTATGTAGGCCTAACTTAAGATGCAATATTTCTTTCAGAAATTAAACTCCACGGAGGTTGGGGGGGGGGGGGGGGGGGGGGGGGAGAGCAATGGTTGAAGAACTATATTTTAAAAATGAATTCTTTTTTGTTCATAACCCCCCCCCCCTTCTTTAAAGAAACACTGCTTAGCCCTTGATATTTTCAGGGGGGGGGGGGGGGGGGGCGAAGATATGTCTGGAAGATTCTCTGCTGCTGCTAAGTGATCAGTGGCAGAGCCGGCGTTAGGAAAACGCGGGGCCTAGGGCCAACCATCCGCGCGGGGCCTTTCCATTATATATATATATATATATATATATATATATATATATATATATATATATATATATATATATATATATATATATATATATATATATATATATATGTATGTATATATATATATATATGTATGTATATATATATATATATGTATGTATATATATATATATATGTATGTATATATATATATATATATATATATATATATATATATATATATATATATATATATATATATATATATATATATATATATATATGTATGTATATATGTATGTATAAAGGCCTATATAATGTGATGTACACATAATAACACAAATGTTTTGGAGTTTATAAGCTAATGCCAAACTTTCCACTATAATAACAGAATTTTATCTCTCCCATGTATTAACCCAACGTTCTTAGTTTTTTTTCCTTGCTAAGATATTAAATCAGTTTTGACAGTTATGTAATTCATACCAAATCACTTAAGAAAATTTAATAATTAGGAAAATAAAGTTTACAATACAGCGAACTCGGCCTGATGTATCAAAACAGTATAGACTTCAAAATTTGTTAGGAATTCATACAATATTTTAAAACCAAAATCATTATTGTCTAAACTATTGTAAAGGATTTCCCTATAATTAAAAAAAATGGCTTAAGCACTCTAAAATGTCGTGTTTTAAAGTTCACCAAAGTATCAGATATAAATTGAAAGACCGCGTTTATTGGGGGAATATCAATGACTACTAAATCACTACCCTTCATTGCCTTCAAAGATTCCCCTTCCTCCATAAAAGTTGTGCGACGAGGACAATTCGCTGACTATATCATGTCAGCACCACTGGAAGACGATTGAATAAAACAATTTGGATGAATTCGCTAAATTAATCATTCTGTCTTGGAAAGGGTGAATCCTTAAGGTGACACAACATAACAACAGTTTTAACTTTCTTCCAAAAAATAATAATAAATCACCCTGTTTAATGCCCCCCCCCCTCCTGATATAGAATCCTAAGCCCCCCCCACCCCCCCCCTCGTCGCCCTCCTGCCACCCCTCTGCACGCAACTGAATGTTAATTTTGTTATACCAAGACAAGTAGGCCTACATATAGAGTTTCTTCCAGGCATCTCTTGGAGGGGGGGGGCCTTGCCCCCCCCCCCTGAAAAAAATTCTACCGCTTCCCCCCCTCCCCCCTCCCCCCCCCCCCCCCGGAGAAAAAAGTCTGGAAGAAACACTGTACATATACGACATTATACGACATCTACAACAAGAAAGTCAGGACTAGAGTTCATCAGGTCACTAACTGTCTACTACAGACATCCCGTCTGCTCACTAAAAGGACGTCTTCATCGGTCCGCATACAATAGGGTATCTCTTTACGTCGTGGGCTAATTCTCGACCGCCATCTCCAGTCAGCTCAGGTCAAATGCCAGGCGACCGTACCCTACACAAAGGGGAGGTGTGACAGTATTTTTGTATCGAATTACGGCCTTTCCCAGTTCAGGTGGGACTCACCAACATCAAACGTGGCCTCAGTTATAACAATCAACAACGTCGGCATTCGACCATTTAGTTTTTCCCAATTGAATTCAGAAACAATTTTTCAATTGATTTCAAACTGATTCAGATAACAATGACATTGCTGAAGCGCGGGGCCCCTTCAAGCGCGGGGCCTATGGCCACCGCCCCGTTCGCCACCCCCTAACGCCGGCTCTGATCAGTGGTAAAGTAGTAAACTGCTTTGATCAACTGAGTAGGCCTAATCGGCGACAATAGAAAAATCATATTAAGTTATATTAATAACTTTTTTTTATTAAATGGATACTAATAACGGACAAATACTTCGACATCAATGAAAACATTTCTGATGTAACCACGCGAAAACATGATTCGCGGTGATTTAAAAAACAGATCGATAAAATTTATGACGCATGCACTATATTTCTTTTGAATTTAACAGCCGTCAGTATCCATACCTAGTTCACGTGCCATATAAACTGTTCCCGGTGACCAATGAAAACACAGGTTAAAGGAGAGGTCGGCCAATCAGACAATGTAAACATTCTGCGAAGGGAAACAGCGAGTGGTATAAAAAGTGATGCAAGGCTAAATTTTGGCCTCTTGTGTTGTATCTTGGTATTTGGTTGTTTACACTTGTATCCGGCCAACATGGGTGATATTCGAGAAGATGTTAAATCAAAGTTTGTTATTAATTTCTCAGCTGGACCGGCCAAATTGCCAGGACCGGTAACTATTTTTAAAAATAAAATGATAAAAAATCTTAATCTGCTAAAGTTGGCATGGTGGATCTAGATTCTAGATTTAGACAATTGACTCTAAACCAAGATAATGAAGATATTGGTAGCTAGGGGGGGGGGTACTAAACTTGTTTTTTTTTCAATAAGGCCCCTCATTTTCCAACATAGACTGATGTAGGTAATAATAAAAAACAATCCTTTTTTTTAAAAAAAAACGCTAATGAAGTGAATAATATTTCCGTAATTAAAATCACCAGATAGGCTCAAATCAAGTAAACATTGATTGACAGAGTCTCACTTGACAGTATTTTTTGTCATAAAATGTAATGTAGGCTATTTTAGAAAATTCTTAAAATATTTTAGTTGCGTCCCTTGGCTATTCGTATTTTTACTTATTTTTGACCAAGAAATTAGATGATCTAGAATCTAGAATAGTCTAGATCATTTTTAGAATTCATAAAAAATGTAATAACAGACTTATTAGGTAGGCCTACTAAAAAGTTAAAAGTTAATGTCTAACGCACTCTAACACTAACATACTCAATCTTAGCCAACCCTTAGTCTAGTTAGGCCTTGCCTTAGATTAGTGATTGCTAGATCTAGTACTAATCTAGTAGCTAGAATCTAGGGTAATCCCTTAGTTTAGCGTCGGTTATTATTCCAGAATCGTATAGCAGTAAAAAACAGTAAAACAATAACAAAGTCTGTCACACACTTCCGGAATTCACCGGAAGTACCGTAAACCATACTTTATTTGGCGTCTTCTTTTATTTTTAAACAGAATGTTTAAAATTTGGATAGATTTATTTTTGTAATCATTTTTACATTTTGTAATCATTTTTACTATTTTCGTAATCTAGATTTTTTTACTTGGCCTAGCAGCTAGATATCTAGCTAGATCTAGATTTAATTAATTAATGGTCGCAAATCCGCTGCAAGCCAAAAACATTAAATTATTACATTTGATACATTATTTATATTTATATATGTTTTTATTTTTAGATCTACTAATTTAAATCTACTATTATATTTATTCTTGTTTCCTTTTGTCGATTAAACTTAAAAAATTAAAACATTAATTTACTACAATCGACTTTCAATTTATTTATATTTCAATGGTCAAATAAACCATGGTTTACCGTAACTCTAATTACCGAAACTCAACAAACATTACCCGATAATTTCCGACGCTAAACTAAGGGATTACCGAATCTAGTACTAGTAGACTCATGTTTTACTTTTCTTAACTAATAACTAATCATTTCAAAGCCATAAGCCTTAGGTTTATTAAAGTAACCTGAGTGAAGAATATTGTACTAGACTTGAAAATTCAAAGTAGGCCTAGCCTAGATAGTTAGATAGATCTATGAAATATTTTATGTTTTATGAATGTGTAGGCCTACAATTTACTAGATCTACCCTGATTTGTTTACTATAAATTATTTTATATCTGTATTATATTATTATACTTATACTATAGGCCTAACCACTTTGTTTTTGGATATTGAAGATAAAAGTGTATGTAGCTGCTTATTGCCAGACAGAAATGTTGATATAGGACTAGGTCGAATATGTAAAAGTTAAGATAATTGTACAGAGTAAATTACACTAACACTAACTAGTTTTTCAGTTTCATTTTATCCAAATCAGCCAAAAACTCTTGACTATTATTCACTTTAGAAAGCAGGTATAGGCCTAATCAATTATATTTGTTCTTTTGAATCTACATATTTGGCTAAACTTGTTATGTTCATCATTGAAGTAAAATTGTATTACTAGTAGTTACAGTGTAATACTTGTACCATACACATAAGTAGGCTTATGGTTTTTAAAAGTGCTGTAACCTGATATTTGTTTTTCAGCTGGTTTTTATTTGACGGAATTTTTATATGAATTTTCTCCAAACTATTCCACACTCATTGAAGATAAACAGATACCCGCACACATATTGAAGATATCCACACAGATACCCTCTACAAATATATTAAAGACAAACAGAAATCTACACACATACTCAAGATTATCCCCACAAATATTGAACATAGTAGATATCCTCACAGATATTGAAGATAAACAGATTATCCCCACACATATTGAATATAAATAGATTATCCACACAATAATGAAGATAAACAGATATCCACACAGATATTTAAGATAAACAAGATATCCCCACACACATTGAAGATAAACAGGATGTTTAGTAGCCTAAAAAATGTGCCTGCACTTGATGAAAACAGGTGAAACGTCACCTGGTAAAAGTATTTTTATTTAGTGCTACCTGTCCATAATTTGTTCTAAAAGAAGTAGGACATAAAAAAGGGATACAACACATTTTTATTTTTCAGGCTTTAATTTAGAAAAATTATTGAAGTCCATCTTTCCTTGACCTAAATACTAAAATAGATGTAGATCTAGATCTAGATTTAAGTCCATTTTTTTGTGTGATACAAAATTATCCTTCTTTACCTATCCAATGTGTGTGTACATGTTGGTCTTAATGATACCACCACAGGCCTATAGATATAGATCTATTTAAAATAATTTTATTTATTCAAGTGTCTTGGATACCGAGTTACTATTCTATTGTGCAGTTCCTAAAACTAGATCTAGTTTCTAGTACTAGTGTCGTTGTCAGTGTATGCCTACAGATAAAAATTTTCAAAATTCTGATGTCGTAGTCGTAGTTAGCGTGTACATGTGACAAATTACGTCTCCGTTGGCCAGCACCCCTGACCCTTTGACCGGGCCTTTTGTAATGGGTCCGTTTGTCCACAGTAGCAGCAACACACGGCTGTATTCAGGCCATGTACACAGCGCGTGTTCACGCTGTGCTTCACCGCACAAATTGATGACGTAATCACAACACCGAGCAAGGCCGGCATCTGGATTTTACCGGATCAGTTGACACATTCATAGTTCCTGTCTAGTCGTGAATGGATCAGTCGCATTCTATTTTAAGCTTACAAAAACTTCGACGGCGGGTTTCGAAATGGCTGGAAAAAAAAGAAACAGGACGTATACCTGTTTTAATTTTATCGTCTGCATCTGAGACTGAGATTTTTCTGGACCTTAAAAAAGTAAAAAAAGAGATCCGGTTTAGTTTTATCGCCTGCATCTAAGATTTTGTCACAAGTGTTAGACTAGACTAGAGCAGGTCAGTGGAGCGATAGTCTGACGACATCGCTTATCTAACTAGGCTAGTGGTTGGTGGGCTGATCGTCCTTCACCTTGTTCTAACTGATCGGTCGGCTGAGTGTGGATGTAATAGGCCTATTGTAGGCCTTTCAAAGGGGCTCTTCCCTCCCAAGGGGTCGTCCATGAATGACGTCACACTCGTAGTCGGGAGGGGGGTGTCCGTAATTTTGTTGCGGTGTGTGATGAGGGGGGGGCGGGGTGTTCTGATGGTGTGACGTCACACTTTTGCATTATAAATAATCAGCGTTTTTTAGAAAACGAAATTTAGCCGCTATTTTGCGTTTTAGAAAATTGTTTTAATAAATTGTAATATGAATTGATTAAAATACTCTACGTTGTCAGAGTTCACACACATTTTTTAAAATAAATATTGATGTTTTAAGAAAAATTAAATTTTTCAGGGGGGGGGGGTGTAGGCGGAGATGTGACGTCATTTTAGGGGGGGGGGGGTGTCTGACTGGCTTTTTGTGACGATGTGTGACCGAGGAGAGGTAAAAATCGTCAAAAAAAGCGTGATGTCATTTATGGATGACATGACTCCCCCCCCCCCCCCCCCCCCCCCCCGACTTCACTTGGTTTCCGAACACGGATCAGCGGATCTTCTATTCCGATGACCTTTGCACCCACTTTCCATATGACCTTCACCATGCCCGATTGACATAGTTTGTCACAGATTTTAACCCTATCAGTCTATTTTTGGATTTGGGGGAGGTAATCACGTATTTCAAGGGTAGGCTTAAGTCATTCAGGGTAGGTGTCTAAAGATTAGCCCTACCCACATCTACGCGTCCATTGGTCCGATCTCAGTTCCTGCTTGAGTTATGTCCTTGCTCGTCAAGTTAGGAGTTCATGTATTGTATGATTGCTGGTTGGACAATATATTGGACAATAGATTGCCGTATGTACTATGTAGATGTAGTTGGTTATAATATTCTGTTGATTGCCGGCTAATTCAGCGTCGGGAAAAGAGATCTTAGATCTAGTTGCCTCAGGTCCAGTTATTAGTAATAGTAACATACAATCATAATTGTAGGATACATACAACCATAATTGTAGAGTTAGTACTCTGAGTTCAGCCTCTACCAAATGTTGTTCTACCTGTACTAAATAATGGAAAATGATCCAGCTATTTTTGTCTATCAGCTGAACATGTGGACTCTATCTGAACTTGACATGTGGGCTCTATCTGAACTTGACATGTGGGCTCTATCTGAACTTGACATGTGGGCTCTATCTAAACTTGGCATGTGGGCTCTATCTGAACTTGACATGTGGGCTCTATCTAAACTTGACATGTGGACTCTATCTGAACTTGACATGTGGGCTCTATCTAAACTTGACATGTGGGCTCTATCTAAACTTGACATGTGGGCTCTATCTGAACTTGGCTCTATCTGAACTTGACATGTGGGCTCTATCTGAACTTGACATGTGGGCTCTATCTAAACTTGACATGTGGACTCTATCTGAACTTGACATGTGGGCTCTATCTGAACTTGACATGTGGGCTCTATCTGAACTTGACATGTGGGCTCTATCTGAACTTGACATGTGGGCTCTATCTAAACTTGGCATGTGGGCTCTATCTGAACTTGACATGTGGGCTCTATCTAAACTTGACATGTGGACTCTATCTGAACTTGACATGTGGGCTCTATCTAAACTTGACATGTGGGCTCTATCTAAACTTGACATGTGGGCTCTATCTGAACTTGGCTCTATCTGAACTTGACATGTGGGCTCTATCTGAACTTGACATGTGGGCTCTATCTAAACTTGACATGTGGACTCTATCTGAACTTGACATGTGGGCTCTATCTGAACTTGACATGTGGGCTCTATCTGAACTTGACATGTGGGCTCTATCTAAACTTGACATGTGGGCTCTATCTGAACTTGACATGTGGGCTCTATCTAAACTTGACATGTGGGCTCTATCTAAACTTGACATGTGGGCTCTATCTGAACTTGACATGTGGGCTCTATCTGAACTTGACATGTGGACTCTATCTGAACTTGACATGTGGGCTCTATCTAAACTTGACATGTGGGCTCTATCTGAACTTGGCATGTGGGCTCTATCTGAACTTGACATGTGGGCTCTATCTGAACTTGACACACTTCAGCTGTACATCTTCATGCATGCAAGTTCAACTGGGTCAAAGTTCACCATAATCTCTAACCCTATCAGACCTTGTTTACTTTTTGTGCTATAAATAAATCATGACAAGAAAGCACTGATTGCCTTTAATAATCAGTTTTAAAACCAACTCTAAACATAAGAGTTACCTAATCAAAATGTCAGCCAACAAGAACATAAAGCAGGTTTCATCAGTAATAAATCAGCATATTGCTGATTCAATACAAAAACCTGGTGTGTTCATTACATTTTAATTCAAGTGAAGATCATTGTGCTTGACAAGCCCTGGTGAAATTGATTGTCCAGATGATACAGATGGTTAATGGTGTTTTTATCTTGTTTTTAATGCCCCCCCCCCCCCCCCCCCCCCACCGCCACCATTACCACAATGACAGTATTGCTGTTTGGTTAAATTCCCCCCCCCCCCCCCAGCTCTACCAAGCATCGATTTCACCTGTGAAAAAAAGTTTTGTCTATTTAAAAATGTTCTGATGCTTAAAATCTTCTGCTCCAGGTGTTGGCCCATGCTCAGAAGGAGATGTTAGATCATCAAGACACAGGTGTCAGTGTGATGGGTAGGTTGGGTTGATTATAATCTGATGCTAATTTGGTTGTGTGATGTGTAGGTTGGTTTGATTTTATCTGATGGGTAGGTTGGTTTGATTGTAATCTGATGGGTAGGTTGGTTGTGTGATGGGTAGGTTAGTTTGATTATATTGCATATTGGGGAGGCTTTTTGATCCCAACTTTTAATTTTTTATTTGAATGGAATGAGTAGATTTTAAAAAATTAATGTAGTGATGATTAAAAAATATAATGTCACACTTTTGAGCTAAGCCTGACCAAATTTGTCACCTCCAGAAATGAGCCACAGATCAGCAGAATTCAGCAAAATTTTAAACTCAGCAGAACAAAGACTCAGGCATCTTCTGTAAGCTATTTTTTTCTTGATCTGTTTTTTTTTAAATTTTTAATGGAAAAAGTTTTGAGCGTTTTCCTTTAACATTTTATCATGTTATTTTATTTAGTTCCTTCCTTAAAATAGTTTAATGATGTTGGTTAATATCTTTGCTCGTCGAATGTAACAAAAATGATTCCATTATTTCCAGAGAAATTCCAGACAACTACAAAATATTGTTCCTACAGGGAGGGGGTACTGGTCAGTTTTCTGCTGTCCCCCTCAATTTGTTAGCACTGAAGCCAAGTAAGTTTTTCTTTCAATGTCACTATATAGCTCTGTAGCTGCCGAAGTTTGGGTCATCATCAGAGGATGTTTGGGTCATTATCAGAGGATGTTTGGGTCATCATCAGAGGATGTTTGGGTCAAAATTTAAAATGTTAAAACTGATTACTCCACAGGTCACTCAGCCGATTACATCGTCACAGGCTCATGGTCAGCCAAAGCAGCACAAGAAGCAGAAAAATATGGAACGGTCAATCTAGTCATTCCAAAAACCAAAAAATACACCTGTGAGTTTTGACAACATGTGTCTTTGTCTAAATGTTGAGTGTAGTTAGTTAAGTGTGGATGTGGTAGGAGAGAAAGTTTACATCCATCCAAATGTTGAAACTAAATAGTTTAGCGCTGACTCTAACGTTAAATTCTAATTTTTTTTTCTTCTAGCCATACCTGATGTGTCAACATGGCAACTCAGCCCAGATGCCTCCTATGTGTATTACTGTGCTAATGAAACCATTGATGGTAAGCAAACCCATTCACCATTACATGGTCTTGGCCTCCTATGTGTATTACTGTGCTAATGAAACCATTGATGGTAAGCAAACCCATTCACCATTACATGGTCTTGGCCTCCTATGTGTATTACTGTGCTAATGAAACCATTGATGGTAAGCAAACCCATTCACCATTACATGGTCTTGGCCTCCTATGTGTATTACTGTGCTAATGAAACCATTGATGGTAAGCAAACCCATTCACCATTACATGATCTTGGTTCTCAAGGGAGGTAACTGCTTGCTGTCTAGAATAAAGGGAAATAACCCATGTTTTTACACAAGCTATTATTAAATTTTGTATTCCCATTTTTTAGGAGTGGAGTTTCAGTTTGTACCAGACACCAATGGTATTCCTCTTGTATGTGATATGTCTTCTAATATGTTAACACGCCATTTGGATATTAATAAGGTAAACCATCTATAAGCCTGTTCACTTTTGTTTATATTGTTAAGTCTTGTCCAGAATAACTAGTTTGGTTATTATTTTTAGGTATGTTAAATACAATTAATATATTTTTGTTTTTTTAACATTTGTTCTCATATCATGCCAACAGTTTGGTCTGATATTTGCTGGTGCCCAAAAAAACATTGGCTGCGCTGGCGTGACACTGGTCATCATCTGTGAAGATTTGATTGGCTTCGCCATGAAAGTTTGTCCAGTCATCTTTGACTACAAGATCCAGGCAGGCAACAACTCTCTGTACAACACACCCCCCACATACGGGATCTACATCATGGGGCTGGTGTTTGAGTGGATCCAGGACGAGGGGGGCGTGGCAAAGATGGAGGAAAACTCTATCAAAAAATCTTCACTGGTCTACCAGATGATTGACACATCACAGGGCTTCTACAAGTAAGTTGGTGGGTGTTTGGTTTTGTGAGGGTCAGTTGGTATTTGGTTGTGGGATGGTTTAGTGGCTGCATGGTATAATCAGTACAGAAGTTTGGTCAGATAAATGTTGTTGGTTGGTGTGGAGGATGGTTGATGTTGTTCTTTGTTGAAGTGGTTGTTGGTTGGTGTGGTTGTTGGCTGATGTGGTTGTGGGCTGATGTGGTTGTGGGTTGGTGTGGTTGTTGGTGGCTGGTACAGTGATATACTTACCCTGTAGCTTCTAATGAGTGTTTTATCTCACAGCTGCCCGCTAGACGTCAACTGTCGTAGCCGCATGAATATCCCCATTAGAATTGGATCACTTGAGGGTCACGGCCAACTAGAAAAATTGTTTTCAGAAGAAGCCACAGCTAAAGGTTACCTGCAGTTGAAAGGTCACAGGTAAGCAGTTCTCTTGTAGGCCTACCGTACCTGTTTGGTTTTCAAAATCTGAATAGATCTTTTGGTGATTCATCTTGGTTTGCCATAGATCGGCAAAGTAGCAGGATTTGAAGGAAAAATTAGCTTTGGTTTTTGTGTGTAATCATTCTGAACATTAGTAACCTGATTTGTATATTTATAAACTTTGAATTTCAAATGTCCATGCCTTTAGGAAATGTAAATAAAATTTAAGTTATAAATAGGCCATGACCTCCACACTGACCAACCATTGCATGTATCCACAGGTCAGTGGGGGGTATCAGGGTGTCCCTGTACAACGCTGTCACTGTGGAGGAGACAGAACACCTGGTGGGGTACATGACTGAGTTTATGGAGAGACACAGACAAGTTGCTGCTTCATAGTTATCTCCCCTTCATGGACTGACTGACTGTACATAGTGCATCATCATCACCATCATTATCACCAACATCATCACCAACATCATCACCGACATCGGCAGATACTCTTGATTGCTACTGAAACAATGTAGTTCCATGACAGCTTCAGAGAAGTTTTTGAGCCTTGGCAAGTGCATGGAATGTAGATAAAATGTGGATGGAATGTATTGCCCTGAGTTGTAACTTAAAGTGTTCATTGTTTGATATTTCTGGACCAAATTTTTGTCATAATGCTCAATCTCTCTCACAGACATACATAAACAGCACATTCACAAACACACACAAAATACACACAAGGTGAATGTATATTGTCCTTTAATAAAGACTTGATCAAGTGAAGGGTGTCAATTTTTTAATTATTACCCTTAGATGAATAAATTAAACAAGTAAAGAAACATTTTTAATGACAAGCTGTTAGATGAATTAATAACAAACATGAATGTTCTTTAGCTTTAGAAAAGATTTTCTTTGTTTCTCAAAGTTTTAACTTCTAAAGCCAATGTTCATCATCCAACTTTGAACTTTGACCTACTTCCATTTTCTGACCAGATAAATTCATATTGTGTCAATGTTGTTTGCTATCGTGGGTCAAAGGTCGAGACTGATTAGACTGTGACATGTAGGGCAGTCAATCAGCTGTTGTGGGCATCCGTTGGTCATGTGATCACCGTAGGTTTGTTTAACGACAGCTTGTATAGGTACAGTGGTTATAAATATTGATGATCAGTGTTTCTTCCAGACTTTTCTCCGGGGGGGGGGGGGGGCGGACACTAGTGAAAGTGTATGTTTACTATATAAAATCCATCTCGTTCTTATAAGTCTGCACATTCTGCAGTAGATGGCCACTGGTGTACCAGGTACCACAAGAATGGCAACGTTCAAAGGGCAGCTATCTGGTAACGACCTGAATTACGCGAGAGTTATCGTTACTGGAACCTGCTGACTCCTTACATTTGGTGTCAGGGGCCGCAACTGTTATCAGACAATCTCTCCTGAAGATAAGGTGTCCTTGGCTCTAAACTGAGATTCTCTTTTTTTAAAAAAGATTTTTTTTTTTTTTAAATTTTTCCCCAGCTACTCAACGCATAATTTCAAAATTAAAACTTAAAGAAAAAACAAGTGTGGTTGAAGTCCAATGTCTACAGATGTAATTGCTGAGATAACAATGAGATAGATTGACCTGTGACAAACATCTGGCGTCTTCAGTGGTTTTAATATATTAGCCCCACATGGGTCATCAATATATTAGACCCACATGGGTCATCAATTTATTAGACCCAGACGAGTCATCAATATGTTAGACCCAGACGGGTCATCAATATGTTAGACCCACATGGGTCATCAATATATTAGACCCACATGGGTCATCAATATATTAGACCCACATGGGTCATTAAACCTTTTTTCTTCAAGTCAGATTGTGACACCGTAACCTCGCATATCAAGGGCAATAATCCAGATTAAAATGTCGCCTGTAGAGTGCAGAAGTACTGAGACCAGATCAAGGATCACTATGGGGTAGTTGTGTCATCATTTAACAAGTGGGGAGGGGTGATGTGGGAGGGGTGTATATTAATGCTGTAATAATAGCTTACATATTTATAACCATTTAGTGAATTAATTTGGTCTAAATTTGCTCAGACTATAAAACTTTAATAAAGTTAGAGTTAATAAGGTAGATAACTGTATAAAACTGTTATTGTAAGAGTATTACCGGTTACTTCCCTTTTAACATAATTTCAACTGATAAATTTATTTTGTTATTGTTAGACAAACAGGCCGTTTAAGGGATCCAAAATCCGACCAAAAAAAAAAAAACAACAAAATCTACTACAGCAGTGATTGTTCTACAATCTACAGTATAGTAACTACCAAACTCTGCTTCATAGACAAAAAAAAAACTGCATCAGCTGTAGTGTGAAAGATAAGCAAACTTTCAAACCTCTTCCATGACAAATTGCTCCTCTTTTTTTGATTATTTAAAAAATAAGACAAACAAAAGAATGACAGCTATCAACGGAATGTATTCCAAATCATTCATATAGATGCAGAAAAACATAAGAAGAATAAAATAAACACGGGAAACCGCAGCAAAACTCCATGTTTGAATTCTTCTGACCAGCTCGCGGTATGCAGTTACTCTTTACACAAATTTTCGGCGGGTATAAATAGATAAAGACGTTTTTAAAACACGGTTATATCAAGTCGAAATGAGTTTAATCACATATGGTGTGATTGGTTGTCCCACGAATGGACATACCTTACTTTGTAATGAAATAGGTTAAACTACTAAATTAAGAAATGGTTCAAAGTAATTAAATTAAAATTCAGTGAGGAGTCTACTCTGATTTAAGCCTGCTTTTTTTTTTCTAGATTTGCTTCCATAGCCTTTGTCCAAAAATTACTCTCTAATTAGCGTGACTCTTGACATAGATGCTAAGAACTTCCTCAAATGCAAACATTAATACCGCTTACCATTTTCCCCCTGACCTGTCTACTAGCATTAGAAAATTAAAAAACAACAACTGTTTACGTGTGTGTGGCACGCTAAATATTTTAATCAAAACAATTTAAATAAATTATTTTATTGTAAACCAACTTAATTCAACTTGAAAGAAATTTTAGCTGCACGTATACAAGATGACGTCTGCTACACGAGGACGTAGCAACAGGTGGAGAGGTTGACGTCTGCTAGAAGCTTCACAAGTCTGCTAGGTTGCTGAATTCTTGACACGTTTCAGATCCGTCTGTGGTGTTTGTTAATTCTGATTTCTGTTTTATGACTCATGAATTAAAATAACAACATCTGCTGCTTTCTACTGATATTTCTGTACATCGCTATAGCACTAATTGTGCTAGTTACTCGTCACTGTAGCACTATTGTGCTAGTCACATATCGCTATAGCACTAATTGTGCTAGTCACACATCGATGTAGCACTAATTGTGCTAGTCACACATTGATGTAGCACTAATTGTGCTAGTCACACATCGATGTAGCACTAATTGTGCTAGTCACACATCGATGTAGCACTAATTGTGCTAGTCACACATCGATGTAGCACTATTGTGCTAGTCACACATCGATGTAGCACTATTGTGCTAGTCACACATCGATGTAGCACTATTGTGCTAGTCACACATTGATGTAACACTGCTACTCGCATTTTGTGCTGTCCCGTCTTTCTATGGGGCGACATCCAGCTAATGGTTTTAGACTTTCAAAGCAAAGTTTAGCCCCCCCCCCCCCCCCGCAAAAAAACCCCACTAAAACAAAACCTACAGATTTCGTTCTCCGAAAGGGGTTGTTGGAAAAGTTAGAAAGGGGTTGTTCAGGGGTTGTGGAGGGGGTTGTGAAGAGGGCTGTCAATATTTTATTCTTGTGGGGCCAGCTGGAGAGGATGGCCCAGCTGAAGAGGATGGCCCAGCTAAAGGTGATGGCCCAGCTAGACAGGATGGCCCAGCTAAAGAGGATGGCCCAGATGGAGAGGATGGCCCAGCCCAGCTGGAGAGGATGGCCCAGCTAAAGAGGGTGGCCCAACTAGATAGGATGGCCCAGCTAGATAGGATGGCCCAGCTGGAGAGGATGGCCCAGCTAAAGAGGATGGCCCAGCTGGAGAGGATGGCCCAGCTGGAGAGGATGGCCCAGCTGGAGAGGATGGCCCAGCTAAAGAGGATGGCCCAGCTAGATAGGATGGCCCAGCTGGAGAGGATGGCCCAGCTAAAGAGGATGGCCCAGCTAAAGAGGATGGCCCAGCTGGAGAGGATGGCCCAGCTAGATAGGGTGGCCCAGCTAGATAGGATGGCCCAGCTGAAGAGGATGGCCCAGCTGGAGAGGATGGCCCAGCTAGATAGGGTGGCCCAGCTAGATAGGATGGCCCAGCTAAAGAGGATGGCCCAGCTGGAGAGGATGGCCCAGCTAGATAGGATGGCCCAGCTAGATAGGATGGCCCAGCTAGATAGGATGGCCCAGCTAAAGAGGATGGCCCAGCTAAAGAGGATGGCCCAGCTAGATAGGGTGGCCCAGCTAGATAGGATGGCCCAGCTAAAGAGGATGGCCCAGCTTGAGAGGATGGCCCAGCTAGATAGGGTGGCCCAGCTAGATAGGATGGCCCAGCTAAAGAGGATGGCCCAGCTAGATAGGATGGCCCAGCTGGAGAGGATGGCCCAGCTGGAGAGGGTGGCCCAGCTAGATAGGATGGCCCAGCTAAAGAGGATGGCCCAGCTGAAGAGGATGGCCCAGCTGGAGAGGGTGGCCCAGCTAGATAGGATGGCCCAGCTAAAGAGGATGGCCCAGCTGAAGAGGATGGCCCAGCTGGAGAGGATGGCCCAGCTGAAAAGGGTGGCCAGGACAGGGAACTAAATGCAATCAACAAAATTGGCCACTCGTGGGGCCAGTTAGAGAGGATGGCCCAAGACAGATTACGCTATAAAGTGGCCCCTACAACAAAACAATAAGTACTCGATGTTTTCCACAAAGATATGTAAACATTTAGTCCGCCCTGAGCTTAGACCAGCGAGCTAGAAAAAAAAAAACTTGCAGCAGTCATTGAGTTCCTCCACGCTCCATCTAAGATGACGGACGATCTGACGTAAACCCGATTTAATCGCTTCGATTTTTGAACAATGCAACTTTTTGTCAATATTTCAATTTCGCCCGACCAGAATTTGACACAGGCCGTGGTATATCCGCTGGTGTTTGGTTTCATTGGGGTAGTCGCTCACTTCACGAGAACCTTTATTTGTGTGCTGAGGGGAATTAACTCTAAACGTGTCTAACAAAGGGACATTAGCCAGTTATTAAGTATGAATAGATTTATTAAAATTGAAAATCGTTCTGGCGGCAAGTTGTTTATCGCTGAGCCTGCTACACAAGTTCGTCTGCTAAAAAAGTTCGTCTGCTGTAGAAGTTTGTCTGACTTTTATTTACACAGACGTGCGCTATGTGGAGTTTTAAATAGCTCATTTCATGGTGTTGACTGGTAATAGAATTTTAGATTTTTCTTTTATACAACCTTTTGTCTTTGAGAACTTTTACTTTGTTTATTTATTACAAATATATGAAAATGTAGGCTACACGTTATAACATTTAAAAAAAAAATATAATTTTAATTAAAATCTATCACTTTTAAGATAACAACTTATAACAACTTTTATATAT